TCTCTCTCTCTCTCTCTCTCTCTCTCTCTCTCTCTCTCTCTCTCTCTCTCTCTCTCTCTCTCTCTCTCTCTCTCTGGCTGGCTCTCTCTCTGGCTGGCTGGCAGGCAGGCTCTCTCTCTCTCTCTCTCTCTCTCTCTCTCTGGCTGGCTCTCTCTCTCTCTCTCTCTCTCTCTCTCTCTCTCTGGTCTAAACATTAGCTTCAAAGCAATGTCATGTTTATAGCACATATGCAAAGAGTTAAAACTACAACAGTGATTCCCAACCAGGGGTACACAAGCATATTACATGGGGTATGTGGAAAAATTTCCCAGATGTGTAAAAAAATGTATAAAAATAGGACTGACTTATGTAGGGCCCTATGATTTCCACAATGTGGAAGATAGAAACGGAATCACGAAATTGACACAAAATGCAATCCTGCATAAAATGTGAAATCTCGTGGAATTTGCTCATTTTAGGTATTTGATGTATTTTGGACGCTGCTGCTTCCTGCACCTGCCACTACCTGGTTTATTTAATTACTTATTCACTTTCAAGGCAACATATTTATCTTTTTGTTTGAGTTGAAAATAAAATGCCTGAGAACTAAACGTTCTAGGGGGTTAAATAAATAATTTTCATTTAATAATCAGCTGTTGTACATTATAGTTTTGGAGAATCATCATTATGTTTAACTGAGGGGGTACTAGTGGTATGAAAAAATGGCTCGGGGTACACACATCTATCAGGTTGGGAACCGCAGCTTCCAAGCAGTTAGAAGTTCCTGTGGTTTAAAATTTGGTCTTGATCAGTAGTTTGTTAGCAGTGGTGGGCATGGTTGTGCTAATCAGCTAACAGCTAATAGGGTTCGATATTTTTTCAATACAAAAAGGASAAATGTCCATGCCCTTCTTAACCTCAAAAGTACAAATGCAGTATTAAATGTTGCTGAAACAGAAAATTTCTCAGTGGATCTTGACAATGCAGCCTAGCTGGAGCAGACAAACACAGATCCACTGAGCCTTCAACACAGAGCATCTTCAGAAGACAAGCTGATAAAATAAAGTTTAAAAAATTTGTATTGTTCAATACAAGTGTGTGCTGAACCTGAAGCACTGTATTGAACATTTCATTAAAGATACATACATTGGTGCACCCCTAGTGTGTGTGTGTGTGTGTGTGTGTGTGTGTGTGTGTGTGAACAATATTATTCAACTGATGAACATCCCACTAGAACAGCAGTTGTAGAGATGCCATGACTCAGCATTTATTCATCCCAATGTGGGTCTTGATCAGTTGCTACAATAATACACTGCAAAAATAAAAGAATAAAAATAATTTGAAATTCCAGGTAAGTCTGATTTGGTCTAATTTAAAAGGTGTCACTTCAGATGTCCTCATTCAGATTTACTAATCCTGACAGATTAAATTAGATGTCATCATCCACTGGTTGCATCAGAACATATGTTTTTTTTTCCTTACAAAGTCCAGAAATACAAAAGAAAGAGATAAACGTTCTGTTAAGCTACTTTTCGAGCTTTATTGTTAGAAACGTTCCCAGACAGCTAAGGTCAGGTTATGTCCTCACTTTTCCATCAAATTGTGAGCAGAAAATCTTCAACTGCACACAAAGTCTTTTTAATGCTTAATCGGATTGTTTTGTAATCAGATAGGATTGAATTTATTGTTTGAATCTGGATCGGTTTAGGACTGAATTAGATCCCACATATTATTATGATGACTTTTTGGATTTGTTACTTCAGTGTGTGGTGCCCTGAGATGACTCATTAGCTAGATAACCTGGTTTTTACCATTAAACAATCAGGTTTAATGGAACCAGTTGACATATTGTCCTAATGCACCTCAAGCCAAGTCACACATTTTTCTTATGGTGTATATAAATAAGCTGAATTGATCTTTGAAAAATAAAAAAAAATGTATTAAAATTTTCATGTTTGAGTTTAAGGTTGATTCTCTTTTAGGTCAGCTCTCCATGTGCTTCATTTGTTGGGCGAAGAAGTTCGGTGAGTTGAATTTTTCTTTGTCTGTTACTCTCTAAATGCAAAACATGCTTTATATTTTACTGAGACAATAAAAAAAGTATTTTTCTAAAGACTGCACAGAATGAAAAGCGATGACTCACGGTGGTATCTGCAAAAAAAAAAAAAACACACACACACACTCAGTTTGGCATGACAGAGTTGATTTGATGCAGCACGAGCTTATCTGTGGCTCTGCTTTTATTCAGGCGACAGGGAGAGGAGACACTATTTAAATCAATGCTTCATTTCTGATAAAATGCCACAGGGCTGTAATATAATCTGTAATCTCACATTCAGAGAGCGGTGAAACTGCCCCTTTTTTTTGGATGCTCAATCACAAATTCCAGTGGTTTGACACAACAGATGGGCATCAGCCTTTGTCAGACATGGTGTGAAGCAGGGCAGCAGGAGTTTGCTCAGAGCTCAGCTTGCAGACAGTGTCACATTCACTGTGAACTGGTTGTAGAGGAGAGGACGCAGATTGAGAGCTCATGCATTCTGAGACCTTACAGGTTCCTTGGAGCTTCAACAACCAGGTAGGTTAAATTTGGAGTCCTATAATGTGGCATGTAATGTATGGAGGCTACTCGGCATGACTCTCAACCCGAAATGTGTGGGATTTAAATGTACATGGTAGAATTCGAACTCTTTTTTCCCCCCAGAGAAATCCGGTGTCTAAAAAGACTAAAAAAAAGATGAGTAATACCATTTTGCAGCGTGGGGGAGGGAAGCAGAAAGTCTTTCATAATGACGGCTCAGAGCTGGAAAAAAAAMCCCTTGAAAAGCAGCAAATAAATAAATAAAAAACAAATAAATAGGACTTTTATTTGTAGGTTAGTGCTAATGTGTACGCTTTCAGGATGGTGAATTTGAAAGCAGAATCACTTAAGGATTACGGTACATTTTGTCTCGGATGAAAGCCTCCGCTGCCACTGATGGTTTCAAAAATTACCACCGCCATCTGCAGGGATCAGATCCAAGTTGGTGCCACATCCTGTGATATCATGTCAGCTGTGCGCTTTTGTGAGTTCTTTTAGCTTGGTTTTTCTGAGTAAAAGCTGATCATTAGTCCTAAACATAGCGGTGCTGGGTGGGAATAATTCAATAAAAAGGTTTCTATCTTCTGTCTCAATCAGAACAGCCTGAAAGTAACATCTCACCTCAGTAAGCCCCTTTACATATCACATCGGACTTTATAGGTGTTTGACAGAAACGATCATGAAAGATGCTTTTGAGTTTTCCGAGTATTTGAGTGATTATGGCACATCTTTCCTGGAAATACCCATCCTGCAGAGAAAATATCCCACTTAAGTGCTGCACATTATTGCGTCATCAATGGCACGGGAGCACGGCGGATGTTTAATATAAGCTAGTGTAAATGGTATTTAAGTATCAACTACTGGCACTTTAATCTGAGCAGAGGTCCATTTCCTGTAGACAGATTATTAAGGCTGTGATTATTATCAGCCTTGTAGCCGGGCCAACTCATGTGGCTCTGCAGCTGTGAGCAGCAGCTCCCTTCATTAGAATAATGCCTCGATGGTCCATTGGTGGCCAAGAAGYAAAAGCAAAAATCAACACAGCTTGTAGGGGGGGGAGAAAGTAATAAATAAAAAAATATTTTTGTAACATGAGACATGTTATGGCAAGATTTGCCAAATGATTTGTCTGCATGGAAATCTAACGCTTAAAAAAAGTTACTTGGAAAATGAAATTAACATTTCATCACAGTTATCCTTTTTTTGTGTCATATAGTTTTACTTTTGAGTCTAAATCAACATAAATAATAACATTTTATACGCTGACGCTGATGGTATTATTTCCGATATTTTACACAAAAATCAAACCAATAAATGTTTGTAGCAYTGATGATTTTTTTTCTTGTAAGTTCAATTTCATTAGTAAAAAAACAGCAAGTGTAATGTAAGTGTAATATGTTATAAGTCTATAGGTTTGTTTTCGACTACGGTTTAACACATCTGTACCTTATGAATAAACAAGCCAAAGAACCCTATGGAAAACGGCTGATTGTTGTGTTAACACTTTGGCTTTGGTGCTGATTAAACAAACAAGATGTTAATTATTGAGCTTAAAAAGGTGCTAGTAGGTTTTTGTTACCTTTGCAAGGTGTTTAATTCTAGATTTCAGGATAAATTAAGGCGCAGAAGATGGATGTAAGACCATTTCACCCTAGAAAAAAAAAAACAAGAAACAAAAACAAACAGTAATTTTCCGTGTGTTAAATAAGCCTTGACCATTTTAAAATAACARCCATAGACCGGTAACGTTTACATTAACAGAACTCATCCTGAGGTAACTCAAGTCAGAACCATGGCAGTTTACATGTAAACAAAGAATTAACACAAAGGATGTGGTTGGCAGCGTTACTCATTTACTTTAACATATGGAGGACAAAAATACACAGGCAGAGTTAGTTTTTTAAGCTTTAGCACAGCTTTCAACGGTTTTCTCTCTGTTTTGATACTGAATAATTCACAATCACTGAATATATAGTTTGTCACAATTTAGGAATTCTTTTTGCATTGTGTTTGGATTCTATATTAATTTTAGGCAGTACTCACTTGAGTTTATGTTCTTTTCTTGAAACTTTGATCATAGCCTCCTGATATTCTAAAGCCATACAATGACTCCGCTTGAGTCTAAGAAATCTTGGTAGTTTTTAATATAGCTTGAGTTCCACTTGGATGGGCAAGATTGTCATAGACGCCTGTTTTTCTGCAATGTTATTTTCCTTAAGGCAAGCACAATGTATGGGCAAATAAGACCAATAAAGAACACAAAACTCTTCATCCACAGCTATGGTTTCCAAAAATGCTGCGGCCAAATTGAGACCACATTCCCTATGCCAGTTGGGTTACGGTAACCGCAGTGTTGGTTTACATGTTGCCATTTTAATGGATATTATTAGTTTTCTAAAAAGGAAAATAAAAACAAATGCTGCAGTTGCAAAGTTTTAATTCTTATGAAGGAGACACTCTCATGACCAAATCAGTCTGCTGACATTAAATGTTTAGCATGACTCGGCGTGCTTGGAGCCTTGGCTGAGTAGACCTTGAGAATTGAGCTGAAATTGCTTGGAATCACGCAGTGAAAAGACTCTGAATCAAGTCGACCTGAAGGTTGAGTAAAGATTAGAAAAGAGACAATAGTTTGTGGTTCCAACTCCTTAAAATCAGCCTGGCTTTGGGTGCTAATCGTCAAACTTGTTTTCACAGATAACAAGTATTTTGTTAATTCTGACGACTCTTATCCACACCCCGACCATTCGAATCACATCACTTTATGTCCTGTCACACTGGATTCCTGACTGTTTTAGTAAAAAACAAGTTTTGATTCAGAACCTGCCCCCTTTTTTACAGAAATTTGGGTCTTTTCTACCCCATATCTTCCAAAATCTAAAATATTTTTCTCCTGAACCAATAGAATGATGATGGCTGTAAGGCTGCATCAGAGTCAAAGTTCCTCCAAATTGCAAGTATTTGTGAAATTTGATGATGCAGCCAATTTGGAAATATTTGAAGAAATCAAAAYATCTTTACACCATTTAAAAATTATAACTGGTATTTTCCCATTATCGTGTTAAATCTATTTACGACTAATGAATTTTGCATATTCATCCACTTGTGTCCAGTTTTTAAAAACATGGGTAAAAATTCTAATATTGCAACTTTTTAATATTTTTTTCTGTAGCATTGTGTCCAAATCTACAGCGAAGACTGTGCTGCATAGACTGAAGTGGATGAAGAGTCATTACCTCACCCTCCTCCTCATGTATCACACTGGTTATGTCACCTTCGTACTGACTGAGTCCCTCATTAGCATGCCTGTGTGAGGCTGCACACTTTAGCTCTGAATGTTCATGCCGAGTTGTGAATTCATCTCTTTATTAGGATTTAATAGCTTCCAAACCAAAATGAATGTTTTTAATCTCGAAACTGTTTTTTAATGAAAAGGGCACAAGCAGATGTTTACACCCTTTCACCATCTGTTGGAAGAAAAGCGACAATTTCGACTGATTTTGATCAAAAGCTATTCAACACCTCCTCACCCTCATCTCCTTTCCCAAGTGTTATATAAACTGACCCATGGTCACAGCGGAAACTGCTGGGTTTCTCTCAGATCTTATTAACATGTGAGAGTTTCTGGATAAAAATGTCATTTTGTCCAAAGCAGAGCAAATGTTCCAAAAGTCCCGTTGAAACCTCGACTCAAAACTATGTCTTCTGATTGCCAAATTCTTTGGGGGAATTTAGGTTTTATCTTTTAGCTGAGGTTATTTAAATAATTTTCATTATAACAAATTGCAAAAATCTATACTTCTGCAATGATAATCAACATTTGTGAGTTAGTAAGTTAAAACAAACAATTGAGCAAACTATTTAAAATATATTTAAAACCATGTAACACTAATGTCTCAAGCTTCGCCAATATTTAGTGGTCGAAATGCTAATATTTAAATGGCTGTCAGTTTTGCATTATGCAGTCATTTTGGCAGAAATATATATTTTTGGCTGAAAACAACCCAAGGCTGCACCAAAAGTGCCACAGTTTGCTGCTGCTGCTGTTTCTGTGCAGCACACACAATCATCAAAATCTGTGGCTGTAATTATGAAATGAAAAACTGATAATGATGTTAAGATCCAGTGTTGTATGAAGTACCTCAAAGTGATACTTGAGTAAAAGGATCTTACTGTAAAATTGGTAAAAGTTAAAGTCTACTTTAAGAATATTACTCGAGTAAAAGTTTTTGACATTTTCTGTACTTAGTATCAAAAGTACATTTCTGATATAAAATGTACTGAGGTAATAAAAGTAAAAGTGAGTGGTAAGAATTTAATAAATAACTTTTATTGGGAGGTGAGCTTTTTTTGTGTGTGTGTTTGTTGAAGCGGTTTGTGATCCATATCTTGAAATGTGATATAAATAAAGTTTTACTTACTTTCTTACTCACAAAAAACATT